TCGGAAGAGGAAGGAGTACCGCGACTACTAGATAACGTCCAGTACGAGCTTATGATTTTAAAGGCCAGAATACTAGACATCTAGCCCAAGATAGAACGGCTTGGAAGTCTTTGCTTGACCAGACTAAGACCAAATGGGCTGTAGTGCCACATAGATGGCTAGTTATAGCTCGCCAACATAATAATCTAAGTAGCTTCATAAAATCCGAAGCATTTTTATTAAATTGCTGCTGGGCGCAAGAATTTCACCCTCCTATTAACGCCGACAATTGATACAGTTACTGAATACTTTACTTCGATATTATAATATCAAATGGTTGTATGAGCGCTGCTAAACAGACTAATAGTGGGGTTTTGTGTGAAAATCATTGTTGTATCATAACTGACTAACGAACCTTTTGGCAATCACGTGTTTTAAAATTAAATTTAAACTCATTAAATTACTTTAACGGTTTAAAACGCCATATATTATTTAAACTTATTTGAAATTGATTTTTAACTTCGGCCCGACGTTTCGGATGCTTTGCAGCAGCCGTGGTCACGGGGAGACTGTCAAAGATGGAGGATGTCTCTGACGTCAAAGTAAAAAATTGCTACGCTAGCGCCATCAGTTCCGTTGAAGATGGTATTTGGCGAAACTGGCCGGGTCCTTACAGAATTGACTAACGGTATCTTCGCGTTCGCGTTTTAAGCCGTTAAAGTTTTTATTTAAATGTGTACTACTCGCGTAAACTATAGACAGTATTTATTAAATTAATTATCTTTTTGTAATTGCATTTATTTTTCGTACACAAAAAAAACTATATACTACTACAATTTACAAACATATTTTAAACCGCTGTGACGCTTTTCTTATCCGTTACCTGCATCCCATATATAGCAATATTAACTAACTCAAATTTAACAATAAGAAAGTAAACAATCTAAAATGATTAACTAAATAAATGTACTACCTAGCATAAAACGGCTTCAGTATTGCCTTGCTTCTTCCCAGATCTTATAACAGTTTATTGTGCACTAATTTGCATGCAATATCATGGTGGGTCTAAGGTGGCCCATCAGGACATAAATTGGAATGAGTATGTTACACATAACGTGTTCTGACACAAACCAGACAAGTCTTTCATGTACCGCGTTGACAGATTTCCCGTTTGTATGAATGTTTTCGGCTTTTCCACCCACGCGATCACTCGCCAAAAATAAATCAACAAATCTATGTTTAGCGAATGAGACGTCTAACAAGTTTAATTACTATAGTCACCATGTTTGGTTTTAAACCCCGAAGGGCAAGACCCCCCCCCAAAAGGTTTTTTTTTTTTTTGGGGGGCTTAAGTAAAACTGGGACTCCAAGATTATCAAGATTGGTCTAATGGTAGCAATGGATACCTAATAATCAAGGTCAGGTCTCAAGGTGTTTCTAGTCAATTTATAGTTTATCTAAAATCTGTTAGACTTCGTCAGGACATCTGGATATCAAAAGCGGTAGGAATATCAAAATTTCGTCCGGGTCATGAACCACCGCCCACAGATGAAAAACCCGTAAGCCGAAGGGGGGTTTAAACCTTTTGGTTTTAAGTCTGTGGATTTCCGAATATCCGAAGCCGAAATAGGCTGACAGCGCATCTTGTTTAGATATTATATAGCTAGGGTGTCTTATGATCTTGAAGTGATTAGTAACCTTAGCTTATGTCCTCCTCTATCTTAAAGTACTATTTACATAATTAATTTAAATAAAATACTTAACGACTAACTTTGACATTAGGGACACCCTCCATCTTAATTCACCCCGTGACTACGGTTATTGCTAAGCATCCAAAAGGTCAGGTCGTATTGAAATGAATTAAGATTAACTAACTTTTAAACCGTTTTTTAGTTTAAAACCATTAAAACTGTTTTATTTAAACCTGGGAAGTTCGCCAACTAGCTAAAACCCTCGTACACAATGACTAACTTCGCCCACGGATTTGTCCCGTTCCTCGTCCGCATATTTCAGTTATTTTTATCTTCACACCTGAATTTACGATGTAATTCGTGAACTTTCCATGGACGGCCATGGAAAAGAACTTTATTAGCTGTAAATAGTGTTGGATATTTTTTATGGGTGCTTTCGTTACAAAATTAAATAACTATAAATCATTTCTTAATGATAGACAAGGACAGACTATAAAGTCTATTCGATGGCAGTTGAAATACCCCGGCCACATAACGTCTCAATAAGATGCGCTGGCGACTTATTTTGGCTTCGGATATTCCGATCCAAAGGCTGAAACCGAAACGCGATTTACCTTAAGGCTTTTTCATCTATGCTTGGGAATTCCAGGTTCCAGACGAATTATAACATGTTGCATAAAAATCATAAATCAATTACTTATAATTTTTGTTAAACCTCTCGGAATTAGTAATGAATCATTTCTAAATAAATCACTTTAACGGTTTAAAACACGATTTCTTACTTAGTTAAACTTTTGATTTTTATGTAAAAAATCATATTCAAATAAGTTTAACTAATATATCGCGTTTTAAACCGTTGAAGTGTTTTATTTAAATGTGTACTACTCGCGTTAACTATAGACAGTATTTCATGAATCATTTAATTATAATTTTCCTCCTCACCGTTACCTGGACTCGCGTTGACTAACCACTAGACCATTGCCTCAGTGATATTTAAGATACTAAATGTTGAAGACAATGTCTACGTATACTATAAAAATATTCTTATCAATTGACACTGTTTCCTGCGGGTTTTATCACTTCCTCTGTATGGTCTATTTGCAATGACTCACGTTGTTATAGCAACAACAAAGGAGATAGACATATTTTTGTGCTTGTTTGAACTAATAGCTTATATCAAGTTAATACCATGGATTTAAATAAAACACTAACGGTTTAAAACGCAATATATAGGCCGTAAGGGCCGTAGTTAAAAATTAATTTCAAACAAGTTTAACTAAAATATATCGCGTTTGAAGCCGTTAAAGTATTTTATTCAAATGTGTACTACTCGCGTAAACTACAGACAGTATTTAATATCATGGATTAATAAATAATACAATACTAGTCGTACGCAGTAGTATAATAACTTTTGAAGTTATTAATGCTCAAGCGCAGATTTTTGATTAACCCATCCCATCAGCCAAAGCGGGGCATGGGACAAACACAATTTTGTGTCACAATTCCTGTGTTGAGGGAAAGTTATCTTTAAAATGTACTAAAAAGTAATGTCTCCGTACATCTTATAAATACGATGTCGCTTCGTGGAGTGCAACGCAAATAGCTCGTACCGTACCCCATTTGCATACAAATCTCTCGATTCTAAATATACCACACTTACTGCATTTAGTATATATGTACATATTATATGTGTGTAATAATCCTTCTACTCTCTCTTAGGCCTCTTTCGATTTTTTTGATATGAAATGGGCTGTAGGGAGATCGAAATTTCATCCGGGTTACGACCGTCCACGGATGAAAAGCCATGAAGTTTTATCGCGCAGTGGATTGCTGAAAAACCAAAGTCGACTGTTGAGATGTGTGGCTGGAATAATTTACTTTCTATCAAGCGAACCCTATACATGTTCTCCTAAGATAAAAAAAATTAGAACTATTTTTTCGTATGTATAAGCTATTATCCGCGACATATATATTTCTTTGTCACTCAATTGTAACATCTACATTACTAAAATTAAATAAAAGAAAAGAAAAAAAACTAATGTTATTTATAAATAATAAGTTAAGTATAACAAAAGTTAGTTTTGGGGCCTCAGTCACTGTAAAAGTACTAATTAGAGTCATTTAATCTGTAAGCCAATAAGTTCATACAGAGATGAAACCGCCATTGTAACGAAATTATAGAGTAGTGTTAGGTCCTAGGTTCGAATCACGGTGAATATATTAATATTGTCAAATCATAACACATTATGGTAACAATAATCGAATTAGCTGTATATAAAATAAATCAGTGGAACGCCACACAAATGTATTCACCCCATACCCCACAACTTCAATAAACATCGCAAATTTACTTTACTCTAATTTCTCGAATGTATTATGGTTTTATTTAACTATAAACCGGGGTTGAGTTTTACTGAAATACATATATACATACAAGATATAGAACTGTCAGGATGTCGCCAATAACTTCCACTTGAAAGATCAATCAATGAAGTTGCGGATGTCTAGATTATACGATATGGATCATCGGTTTGAATTCAATTACTGGGTATTGTTTGCGCATTGGCAGCTGTTCGTCCAGACAAGATTAACTAGGGCAATATATTGCAATCTTTAGAACAATAATAGCTATAATGCAATTAATTTTCTTATTCGACATTGTAAGCCATTATTTAATCAACTATCAAATTTATCCTAAATTTTTAACTACATGCTTACTAAACTATGCCTAAATGCTTTGCTGCTTTAATAATAGTTAAAAAAATAATTAACTTTATATCCCTTAACTACAGACAATAAAGATATATAATATTTGATAATAGAATATTGATACGAACATAATATCATGTATGTACTTGTAGGAACAAACCGCGTTGTGTAAATATCGAAACAATACCAGCTTCAAATTCAACTTAAATTTAAAGTACGCGCACCGAAATGGTTTTTTATTCACTCTGATATATCAACTGATTTTAGTGTATTAAATATTTTATCTGTTAGTTCACCCGTGTCAACTGTCTTATGTTTGTCTATCCTTTAAAATTATTTTTTCTTCATCTCTTTCTTTCCTTTTTTCTCCAGCTCCATCCATCCAAGAAAAATATATATTCTTTAAAATGTCGTGATTTTCCTTAATACCAATGGTCAAAAATAACAAAAATTAATTTAAAATGGGAAAGCCATCAAATGAAGAAGAAGATTAAACATTTAGCCAATCGTTAAATTGACTTCTAACGTAAAATATTTACAAGAACAAACATACGACAACAGTGCGAGATTCCGTTTCTGTCAGAATTTCCAATCTCTCTAAACAAATACGTTTGTTTACAGAAAAACATGCAAATCGTGCGGTTGCGATCGGCTGAAACACTCCGTGTATCATGAGGAATTGGGCTCTGTACGGGACAGGCTTGGCCTGCGAGAGACCCGGGGACACCATAGCTACGATAACAGCCCACCTGGACTCACTGCCAAACAGGTAATTATTATTACATTTTTATGATTGACTAACACAATACTAAGGTAAGCTTTAACCGGGGGTTCCTAAACCCCCTTTTTTTTTTTTTTTTTTTTTTTTTGGGTTTTCCCCCTAGGTGACCAAGAGCTAGCCTGTACATAAATAAAGAAATGTCTTACTTACATTTTAGGAAGAATAGTGCCTTAAAATTAAAAAATAAATATATATCATTTCGCCTCTTACTAATATATCTTTTCAAAGATGAGGTTAGAGTACCCATCTAAGTTCTGGGACCCTGGTACATTGATAGTAATGTCTTTATTGTAGCCACACTAATAGTTTTGGGTCTTAGCTATGAAATAAACACAAAATTAATTGAAAAACATAATTCTGACCGTGACTTGTTTCTGTTTTCTTTTTTAAGGTTAAGTAGGTCACTTTTTCTCGTTCTAGTAGACATTATATACTGTCACGATAATACTCACATTGAGGTAATCTTAAGTTTTATGAAGCTAGAAGTTTGCATGACTATTACTTATTTGTTAGAGTTAATTTACAAAACATCCATTTGCACCTTAATCAATGCATTGTAATATTCGAATTCTTTCAGCCTCATTTGGGAGTACTCAATTCAGGATCACTGGAAAATAAAACAATGTCAAATCTTAATTAGGTAGAAATAATTCAATCCCTCGTTAAGCTACTCCCTTCTTCTTACAGACAGAATTATATTGGTCGGCGTTAGCAGAACGCGCGCCAACAATTGGTGGCGCTACTGGCTCTGCCGCTTGGCGAGCTTGGCGGACGAGAGCTTTAGCCGCTCAACTGCCGAAACAAGATCTCTCATTAGCACATTGTAGGAATATTGAAGAAAACCACAACAAGGAGTTCGAAGACTTCGTCGCCGCCAGAAATGAAATCGCGTTAGATATTGGTATGTGGCCAGCGCCATCTAGTTTTTATTGGTAAAACAGGTCTTGACGACACTACACGGCATGGACTTGTAGTTGCATAAAAAGGCTTTGTAGACTAATAAGTATAATTGATTATGGAAAATAAACAAAATGACGTAGTTTCGTGTATATATAACTAAGTATAAACTTCCAAATAACATCGATATAGAACCTAACTTGGGACTCATTGGAATTGTCATTAAAACAACTGGGCCAAAGGTCCTGGCATTGGCATTGTGAATTGGCAAATAGGATTGTGATTTAATCTATACGTTGTTCCTCAGTTGTCGTATTTATTTTACAGTTTATATTTTAATTCTAACTTGAAATGTTTTCAGGTATAGCTAGTCAACACCACGACACTTCAGTGGAATGTATGGGGTGCTTGAAGCCAATACGCAATGGCAGTATAGCAGTTCAAGCACCGAAAATTCATGAGGAGGTAAATATATAAATACATATAATGCAGTAATTAATTATTAAGCGCGTAAAAGCAATATATTTTGCTGTCACTTAAACCATAATGAAAATAGAGGAAGTTTACTAATTTAGTTCAACCCCATCTGTTGGGTTAAAAAGAGAACACTGCAAAAATAATTAGTATCACTAGTGGACATTAGAGAGCGCTTCTATCGAATACGAATTCATATTTTATACTATTAAAACTTCTTTTCTTACATAGCGCTAAATATATTTTCTAATAATACATATGGTGTTATATACCATATCTTGGGATGTTTCATGGTATATTGTATTGTCATAGGCGGCGTTCCACCCAGCTTGTTTTGCGTGCTCCGAGTGCGACGAGTTACTAGTTGAACTGGCCTACTGCACACTAGATGGCAGACTCTATTGTGTTCGGCATTACGATGAACGACTCAAGCCACGCTGCCATGCCTGTGACGAGGTAAGTCTTAAAACTTAATTTAAAATATAAAATCAACACTTTTTTTAAATTAAGTAGATGAATATATTTGTCGCTTATAAAAAAACACTAGTGGCATCTTTAAAGTTTCATTGGCAATATAAAATATAAAAACAAAATAAAAACTTACTATTTACTGTAAATAATTACTTCTATGGTACACTTGTTAACTCTCCAATGAAGAAGAACATTATGAAGAACTGGTTTTTTTTTCTAACACCCAGAATCCAATGTATATTATATTAAAGAAAAATCTCAGCGGTGGGAATAAATAAAACAATAATAGTACCTTTCTATTTTTTATTTTTTAGCAAAACATAAACTTATATTTTATTATTATATACAGAAAATCTATGATAAGTACTTAAATTTGTATCTCAATTAAAGCAACTCTACCTATAGGGTACCATTGTAGGCATGGCTTAAGCAAAATAAGTGAAAATTAAGTTCAAAAATGTTACTTTACAAAACATTATCAAGTCATTGTTCTTACTATTTAAATATATTATATAATACCAAATATTCTACCTTGACAGCTGTAATATAAATTATCACATGTGAAGCGTATAAGCGAATCGCTAAAAGCGATTGTAATGATTCATAAAATTATGCAGTCTATTCTGGTGGTGTCTCTATATAGGAACTGCATCTGAGTGCAAGCCAACGCGCATCCACTATAAATACTTATAATGCATCTTTAGTCCCGTCGATGACGTGTGCATTCGTTTTGAGAATATTTTTGTATATTGACCCACTGCTGGGCGGGATAGTAACTCGTGATCTTAGACCCACCATGCTACTTAAAATTAATAAGGTCTGACAAACCGGGCTGACAGTGTAACGTGCTCTCGAGCCACGACAACTAAGGACACTTCCGAACTTAGCGCTGGTACGGTACATTTTCTTGGAAAAAATTCAAATGACGAACGAAAGTTTCTCCTGACCGAGATCTGAATTTGGAACCCTCGTCACCTGTCGAGTTGGTGTCGCTGCACGATAGACCTGGGAGGCAATTAACATTATAAAAAACTCTCCCATAACCCTATGTAGGAGAAGAGAGGTTTAATGAAGATGACAAATATTCTCACTTATTTACGCATGGCATTATTTTTTTTTTATATATTAAAGAGATACCTTGTTTTGTTCAGTTATTTTAGTAGCTATATTAAAAAACTTGTTGCTGTTGAAAAGGTACTTAAAATGGTTTTATAATTCAATAATAAACCGAGGGCGTAAACCGAGACACAAAGAAAATATTGTTGTTACCGAGACTAAGTTAAGGGCATTTTGAAAAAAGAGTATTTTGAAGTTAATTACATAAAACATGTAGAATTTTATATTATACAAATTCCTGAAAAAATCTTAAACCATGATACCGCTGCAGAAATATTGCTGAACGAATTTATTCTTGTCTAGCCTCGTCGAACAGACGGCTTGACATTTACCAGGCAAATCATAGATTAATAGCTGTACGTCCTGAGAGGCGGTGTCCATGGTTCTTGCTTCAGTTAAAATACCGAAGTTTTTTTATATATTTTCAACCCAATTAACATAGAGAATAGTACATATACAGTTTAAATTATTCAAGTAATGTGTCATTCGTCGGATTTAGACTATTAAAATACCTCATTGATAGACCTTTATAAAAAGAAATTTTAATATTTTCCCTACCTTTGTTTAGTCTTACTTTATTTAAACTCCCCCTTTGTGGCTAAATTGTTAAACGTGTTGCAAGGCAACAAACCCGTGGAAAATATAATTCGATTCGGCTGGGCAGGGCACAAAAGTCAGATCAACTACTTGTAAATAATACAATGACATGGACACACAAATGTGTGTCCCATGTCCAAAATGATTCCCTATTATTATTTAAACGAATATCTTAAATGAAAAAAAAACAACATTTTCTTTTATTTAATCAAAACGTCAATATTGTCTAGTACGCGATTAGTACACACTTAAAAAACGCGATATACACATAAATAATTCTCGAATAAGTTTAACTAATATATATCGCGTTTTAAATCGTGAAAGGGTGTTATTTAAAACGTCATTAATTTAACCTCAATATCGTAAGTAAATCCTTTTGTTGATATTTAAACTTTTTCACGTATATTCTCATGAGCTTAACGGTTAATGCCTAATTATAATATTCTTGTTAACTGTTTTATTACAGTCAGTAAGCACGCAGAATGTTATAAGTTTAAACATTTGATACTATTTTGCAACCTTACTTTGTTTATTAAGTACAACAGATCAACATCCTGAAACATACACATATACAGTCATTAAAAAGGAATCATTCTTTCATACATACTATTTGGTTTCTTGAAACCTTTTCACAGCGCACACAACGGCAGCCTTCAAAGTATAATAGATTTTTCCCATATTTTCTACTGTTTCTTCGTCTTATAGATTGCATATATATGGCCTAAAGCCAGCTTTATAAATGTCTGTCTAACCAACACATTTTTTCCCAGTAGTTTCTGAGATAAGCGCATTCAAACAAATTATTCGGCTTTATAATGTTAGTATAGATTGAGTTGAGTAATCGTTACTCCAGGTGGCGCTACTTTTTTGCGCTACAAATATAATCAGGAAGGGTAAACTATTATGGAACGAAAATAAACTCTTAAACACTAACAGTACTGTGCAGAACTTTTCACACTTCATCATGGTCTGACTCAGTACTTATGCACGTTGCGAGTTACTTGCCCGTCTCTTGTCTACTAATATTATTATTTTTAAATAAAATATCGTTAAATTATTAGTATACTTCTCAAACAACAGACGCTGTACTCGGGAATTCATGTAAGTACGAAAATAATTAATATTTATAAATTCTTATAAAAAGCTGCGTTTGGGCATGTAATATTTAAGACACAAAAATTTTTGTTTTTTAATTTATGGTTATTTTCAGCTGATACCTAATTCCTTTTCTTATTCCTTGTTTTTGGTTCGAAACATTAAAGTTATTATATATAGACAAAAAATTCAAGATTCCCTTAGATTTGACTAAGTATAATAATTAATTAAAGTTTAATACTTCGAAATGTCAAGGTAGAAACTGTACTTAATATCATAAAAAGCGAAATCCAATTTTCCCTCGTGAGGCTTGAAGAGAACACATTTTTGTTTCCGCTTCACTGATCTGCTATATTTACAGGCAAGTTGTTTATCGGACTACTCTACAATACCCGACCGAAACGATATATTGTTTCCCCGGGATTCGAACTCGCGCTTAACGCAATGCTAGGAAACACTTAACCATTTAGCTATAGAGGCGGTCAATAACATCATAAGTACTATTATTTATTTTATCCATCTTTCAATCTAAGATCTGTTATTGCTAAAGATTTGATATCAACGATTATTAACGGCCTACTTTTGAATTACACCTACATTACCGCATCTCAACTGAGTTACATTTGAACAATAAATTACGATCTTCTAATACACGAATTTAGGTTAGCTTTCAGTTTCGTTGATTAATATTGGGTACAGTCGTGTTGAGTAGCTTTTAAGCGGATACGCTCGAGTGATTTTACCTCGAGTGAAATTATTAAAGTCTGGAATTTCGAAATTAAACGCTATTAACTGTTTAAAACGCGATAACTATTTACCTACATATATTTCTCGTTTTAAACCATTAATAGTATTTTGTTTAAATGTGTACTACTCGGCTAAACTACAAACAATACTTAAGTTTGTAGCACAATAAGTCATAAAAAAGTCGGGATTTTAGTAGGTAATGTTAGATTCATTTGGATTTTGAAGAAAGTTTAGTTTCTCCATTAAACCTACTCTGACTATGGTTGTGTATATATTTATAATTTGCCATTGGTTTAGCCTCCTCAGGTTTTGATTAGTGAGAACCATCACTCAATAACATTTACAAATTTGCCGCGAAATCTTCTCCAATTATTTTGACATTTATGCCTTATACTCCAAATATTTAAAATAAATAATACGTGAATAAGTACATACGAAGTTGAAATTTTCCGTCGGCCATGGAAAATGGTCGTCTCTCAGCGAAAAGCGAAAAATCAATTTTCCGCGCCGCGGAAGCGATCGAGAGATATCGACCCTTGAAATAGTCTTCGATCTCTTTGAAGTTGTCGTTGCATTAGATATAATTAACACGCGAACGTTCGCTAGCTCAATCCTCATCGAACGACGAATAGAAGCGTGTCTCCAGAGTCCAGCTTTTCTTTTATTTTACATAAAAAAATATATTTTCAACAAAAAATAAACGCAAGAGGACTTACCAAGTGAACAGTGTTCGATTTGTAAATTGTGAGTGCATTTTATTATTTATTTAGATCAATGTAATCTAATAGCGCGTGCGCAGATTTGTAAGGATCAAGTTATCAAGTGCACGATTGTTATTGAAGTTATTCGCGCAGAAAATTATATTGTTACGTTTTTACAATTTAACGTTTGGATTGGAGCAAATTTACGGTAATTTAAGTGCATTATTATTTATAAGCTGCCTGGATTAGTGGTTCAACGCTTCGCCTTACATATTGTTATGTCTGAAAAGTTCTGGATTCACGAGGTTTGCTTATTAATAAAACCAGATGCGAAATGTACACAAATTAGGGTAGAACTTATGTTTAAATCAAAATTGTGTAGGCTCCTTTCTTTTATTCATATATAATTAAATTCTATTTTCATACATTGAAAGAACAATATTTTTCAAACTTTATTATAAGTTCTTCTATTCGGCAGTAGATGGCGCTACGTGCATTATATCTACTGTTGAAAGACAATTTTGACACGCCTATTGGCTAATGTTACTACTTTAAGCGCGAAATCTTAGTATTAATATACTTTAGATACATTTTTATACTTACAAATGCTAAGTATGTCCGCTGTACTTAGGTACATATTTTGAATCGATAAAAAAGACCACAAAAAGAAATAACTCATTTGTTTCCTTCGTTCGTGTGTATCCCACATGAAGATATTTTAATGATTCATTTAGAGAGACATGCCTATTTATCATATTATATACAATTTCAGTGTCATGAATGAATTGACAGATTGGCAGAATTTGTCGATCGTTTCCTGTACAGGAGGCGACACCTTGGCAACTGTGTCTAGTCAGTGACTTCATAAGATGTACGTTTTAAAAATGTAGCACTGTTTACAAAAACAAACTTCTAACAAAAAGTATTCGTGTAAGTAGTTTGTTTGAGATTTACAAAATGAATTACATACATTAAGTAGTTATGAGAAACTTGTATAAAGTATAGTAACTAGAATTTACAAGAGATGGCGATAGTAGATTGAATGCATTAATTTTAATATCACATAGATGTCGTACTAATAATAAAATAAAATGATCCCTTTTTAAATAAAACACTTAAATGGTTTAAAACGCGATATATTAATTAAACTGATTTGAAATTGATTTTTAACTTCGGCTGGGTACTCGCGTAAACTAAAGACAGTATTTGATCCCTTTTTATTATAATTGAAAAATAAACTTAATTATATTAAAAATCTATCCCACATCTCCGGGAGATAGTTTTAAAACCTTGATAGACCATAGTTGAAACTCGAAATACCAACTTGGTATTATTGCCTGTAAACAAAAAGTATGTAAGCAATAAATATAAATTGTATAATTTACGGCCTTTTTGCACCGATTTATTTTTGGTGATGCTATGAGGTTGGTTGGCATTATTAGAAGTACAATCAAATCAAAACAAATCAACAAGTTTAGCAAATCTGAAGGCGAAATAGGTCGACATTGCATCTTGCGTAGATGCGTGTCTGTCCTCCTCTATATATTTTGATTTTTGTTACTTTTATAAGTGTACCTACTTACCTACATGAATAAATTATTTTTTATTTTGACTTACATAATAAACATAACATAATATAACCGAGCAACTGTCCAAAAATGAATAGGTTAATCTTCGAATATTCGCCAATACTCGCTCGGACGATAAAACCCGTGACGATTCAGTCGAGAGTAAACAATTTCCAGAAATACACTCTGGACGTTTTAGTGCCGAATGTTGACATTTGTAATTAATTTGTCAGCCGGCACTTCGCGTGTTAATCGTCGGTATTAAGTCTATGCAATTGCCAAAGATTTAATGCAAAATTATTCATTTTACAAGGCTTCGATACTAAAATATGTTTGCACAGATTAAATTGGGTATATACTTAAATATGCGAAGTTCGTAGAATTATTTACTCTTGGAGAAAAAAGTGATTTCCATCATAGTTACATCATCATCTTTAGTTATTCGAAAGTATTAACAATTAATTTTTCGTGTTCATAAATATAAGTTACTTATTTAATTTTATTAGAAGGACGTTCTGAAGTACATATATGACAAAGTTTAATTACAGTGCTTCGATTACGTTCATTCATAGTCCACTTCTATTCATAACGTTAACACATAATAAGCACTCATTCACAAAATAAGCCGATAATTTCTTAAGTAGACAGCTTTACTACAAAAACGTGCGTTTCTTGGCACATACGTGATAATATAACCTAGAAGCATTTTGTTTTGCTACGCAACTTAGTAATGGCCTCATAGAATACCGTTCAATAACCTTTCCGCTATTTTCGTGTTTCCGTGACATACATACAGATTTTATGCGTATCTAAGATTTTTAACTTCAAATTACGTACGTAGATCGTTCTTCGGATCTTATATTTGGAATACAGTAACCACCTATAATGTTTCCTAATTTAAAAAATAGAACTGCTTGTTCAACGTCGCTTTGATATTCGAAATTTAAATTATTCATGTCAACAGCGCGGCTAATTGAATTAATGATTGGTTCAGTTTGATCTACCGCGGTCCACTCTTGCGCACGGCCCGCCCGTGACGTCATCACGGATCGAGTTACGCGCGCCCGAATGCTATACGCGGGTTACACTTTCACTTTAGTTCAAGGTCGTTTCCAATTCCTATGCGAAGCGTTGCGGTGTCTGAACAGCTGGAATATCTGTATTCCTTGATTTAGGTTACATTAGGTAGATACAGGAGCCACATTTCTCATAAGGAAAGTCTACCTTTTTATTACTTTAGATAAAGTTTCGAACTAAATGAGAGATAGTAACAAACATCTAAGTTATTATGTCTGTAACTAATTTATATTTAATTTTAATATATAACAGTTTGGAACTTTTAACATTTACAATTATTGGCTTATTAATTTAAACAAAATTTATTAATTCAAATTCTTTTATAAATGACTAAACGATTTTACTGAAAAAAAAAAATCCTGGATTGGAACCGGCATTCACAGCGTTCCGTGCTTTTCTTCTATTTGAGCTGTGACCGTGTCCGTTTCACTTATCTGTTTTCTTTAAAGGCAAAGTAGTATTATTAAATGTATAAGTCTATTTAAATTTTTGGAGAATAACAAGTTAGTCATTTTCACAAATTGGCACACCTTGGATTTTTTTTTTTTTTTTTTCTTTCTTTTTTTTTTTTTTAAAAAGGGGGGGGTTTTTTTTTTCCCCCGTTTTTTTTTTTTGGGGGCTTTTCCCCCCCCCCCCCCCCTTTTTTTTTTTTTTTTTTTTTTTTTTTTTTTTGGGGGGGGGGGGGGGTTTTTTTTTTTTTTTCCCCCCCCCCCCCCCCCCCCCCGGGGGTTTTTTTTTTTTTTTTTTTTTTTTTTTTTTTTTTTTTTTTCAAATTTTTCACAAATATCAAACGTTTTGCATAATGAAATTAATTACTTAATAAATTAAAAAAGAAAAATTCGCCTTCATCCGTAAAAATGGGGGGAACATTTCTGTGTCCGTTTCACTTATCTGTTTTATTTACAGGCAAGTAGTATTATTACATATAAGTCCATTATTTGTATGGTAAACACAGAACTCCAAACAAATACCATTTTCATATGAAAGTTATTTTATAAAAAAAAGGGTATTTGATTTTGAAGTTATTACTAATACATATTTCAGTTATACATAATTTTAATTTCATCTTATCAAAGTTAAAACTTATAGTAATTTTATTTCTTGTTCTTCGTTTTTTTTTTCTAGAATTGCGATTCTTAAGTCTATCAAGGCACTTGCGTCGACCACAGAAAAGCAAATATAATAAAGCTTCTTAAAATCTCAAAAGCGACGGTGATAATAAAACTCTGGCACAATGACAACACCAACAGTGATATTTACTGCGCAAAATTTGGAAGTCATTTTTTAACCGAAGCGGCGCGTGCGCAAATAACTCAATTTTTATACTCTTGAGGTCGATGACTCACGATAGATTTAGTGCTAATTTGAATACTATTTCCAGACGTTGCGAGTTTCAATGTCGATGTTCCAAATTTAAAAATTCCTATAATGTATGTGGACATGTAACTCTAGATTTCGCATAATCTGTGACATCATAGCTTTTAGTAGCTTAACAATTTACGTTAAATACAATAACTCTTGTCGTCTAGATCTGATATACCTTGGGAAGAAGATACTTCAGACGATGACTGATGGAGCTTGAGCTGTAGCATATAAATTAGATTTTGAAAATCTGTTAAAGGTGATTTCATACCACAAAAGACATTAAATGATACTTAATCGAACAATCGCTGGCTCGCCTAGCCACAATGCCAAACGCAATTCTAAATGTGGACAGAATCTTTGGCAAGTGCATTATTTTAATTTCAGTTCATATCTTGCCCCGGTGACCGCTGCATCCCTGCCCCAAACCCCTTAGTCTAGTGCAATGGGACTCTTGTTATCGATCGTTATCACTTACGCCGGATTCAACGGGACTGTGGAATGCCTTAAACACATCATCAGCGGAGTGGTCCCCGCCACGCAGCCAGACTTCCAAGACTTAGTAGAATACTACACGAGACTCCTACGTAAAAAAGCTAACTCGTCACCCCGCGATTGGACGGAATGCGGCCAAGGATACCTTCATATAACCGAAGAGGACGGCCGCATCAAATCCGCGTCCATCAAATTCCACGGCGATCATACGCACGCTCTTCTCTTCTCTACTAAGATATCGAGCTTCGGCCAAGATTCCATTGACGAAAAAGTCAACGGAGATTACAGACTAGAGAGGTATCCGACAAAGACGAAAACAATAATATCCGAATCCTCGGAGTCGTTCAGCGTCGGAAACAAAAAGCGATCGCCGACCAGCTCGGAAGCAGAAGCGGATAACCGAGACAAACTGACTTGGGAGTACATCCCTAAGAGCGCATCGCCGCTGCCCGAAATAAACTTCCAATCTTACGACGAGGACAAATCTGGAGACGCCTACAGCGAGCACTACTTAAGGTTAATATCGTGTGCACGTTTCACCATCACGTTTTCCATCACCATTCCGCGTCTCAAAGCATCTCATGTTTCTGTTTAAGATCACTAGACGGCATAAGGTTCAGGCCGCTACAGCGAAACGACCCGAGCGGTCGACGGAGGACGTTCCGGAAGGGTAAATCGTCGTCGTCGAATTCGTCGAAGGAGTCTCGCGCCTCCCGCGAGGAGGAACTCCAAATGTTCACATCGCTGGAGGAGGCCGAGTTCGCGAGCATGAGTCGAGAGAACAATTACACCGGATTCGGGAGCGCACCTAATCTAGCTGCACGTTCTTATTCCAGAAGTCGATCGCGAGAACGGTCGAGAGAGAAACGCAGTCTGGACGAGGATAGAAGCGAAGGATTGGACACAGAGAGGAGTCACAACTTGGGATCGTTTGAGGAGAGAGATGAGATGAGAACGCACGAGGTAAATGAAGAGTCGGCGGACGTTGATTTCTGGTCTAACATCGCAGACTAGCTATGTATAAGCTTAAGCATGACTGAAATAAACAATATTATTATGTCCCTGTGTTTGTTTTATACACCCCACGTAGAGTAGCTTCCGAATGTGACGGGAGTGCGGTGTTTTAGGCGCTAATGTATGGCTTCGAAAATATTTTGTTGATCTTGCACTTAAACAAAGACACGTAAAGTAGTAGGGCCTTTAAAAAAACAATTTTGATTAAACTGAAAGTCACTTTTAAATTAAATGATTATAAAGATATTTGTAAAGAGGAGTAAAATTGCTTGGATAATAGAAAAACAAAATTAAAAATAAAAAGTATGGGTGTCATAAAAGTAATTTCTTCAAGATTTATAATTTTGTAATACCTAATTCTGGAGATTGTAGATGGGGTTGTCGATTTGTTTTTCCTGAAATAAGTTTTAGTGTACTGTTTATATAATTAAAAGGCGATAAACACGACAGGAACATTTTGCAAACATTTTTTACGTCATTCTGATTTACGTAAATGGTATACATTGAAAAATAAAATTAATAAATAAATTAACGAAATATATATTTATTTTTTCATCTGCTACTAGCTTGCGTCCCGTGACCACAACCACAGAAATAAACTATATTTCGCATTTTAAACCGTTGTATCGATTGATATCAAAAAACAAAGTTACAATTACAATACACAGTATCGCTTTGAAAACGTTCGCCGTTAATGTTGTCTATGTGACTCTGAACTTAACGTCTCATAAATATAAACAGTTGCCCAAGAGTCTAAATATATTCTATGGCGAACCTCGACCTACTTATCTTTGTATCTTAAAGCTTTTTTAATCTTAGTCTTGTCCCATAGAAGAGAGATAAAAATAGTTTCGTTTAAAGTATAGGTATGTCGACATCCAAAATAGGTCGACAGTGTTCTCGTCAAGATGGCTTTGGTATTTCACCTTCCCTTAACATAACATTCTCCGCTTTCCTCCCTTAAAAAACTAATTTAAATATTTTTGTGGTGTCTGATGTCCCATATTTCCTCTAACGCAGTTAAAAGCTGTGATTTCGCGGTAAGTTCGTGAAAAACAAAGCGATTTTTCTAGTTAAAAATAAACCTTGGCTTTAAAACCTGTTTGGTTAAACGTAGTAACAATAAAGTATTGAGTTGCTGCGGTTAAGTCGCCTGCTAATGCGATAGGGGCTTCGCTAAACCGCATTTTAACAACATCGTTCAAAATAGACGTAGCTATATTAGAACGGGAAATGGTCTAGGCTGCGTATCCCAACTTGTGGACCGCGAACTCCTGGGATCCGCAAGTACAAGCATAGATGTCCGCGGTGCCATCTCTGTTTATGAGGAAGGAGGACCATCCAGCGTGGTGTTTACTTGATGATAGGCGAATACCCTACATATAACTAATGAACAAAATGCGTCTTTGGATTTTCTGAAATATACAGATTGACACCGATATTAAACTTTACTGCTTACATACATGCTTAAATTAATGTCAATTTTATTAAGAAAAAGTGAAAACTAGGCCTAACTTTCAAGGGGTTTGTTCAGAAGAACGCTGGCGAATGCTGGAGTAGATTTTTATTAAGATGCATCAAATCAAATGATATTTAAAAAACTCTTTTACCCATAAGTATTTTCCAAAATGTTTTTTTTTTTTTTCCCCCTTTTTTTTTTTTTTTTTTTTTTTTTTTTTTTTCCCCCCCTTTTTTTTCCCCCCCCCCCTATAAAAAAAAAAAAAAATTTTTTTTTAAGTCGTTTAACACATCTTTTACCTAATAAGTATATGGTGGGGCCATAGTAACGTGAGCAATGTGACGTCACGCAGTTTCACGATTCTTAGATTCTCTTTAATCCCACGTCCAGTTGTTTCATGTCTTTTACAGTAAAAATATCGCTTCGATGAACCGACCGAGACCTCTCTAAATTATATCATTCGACTAGTCGTCAATGAGCGGATGTTGCTTGTATAACATGCGTAATTTCGACGAGCTCTTTCGTTAAATTTAAGCAGTGTGTCGTGGGTTCGACCTCCACCGGCTCCGACCCGTTTCTAACAATTTTAACTTTTCCGAAGCACCGTCTGGAAGTCTAGATATTAAATGTGCCGTAGGTATATCAAATTTCCGTCCGGGTTAACCACCGTGTCCACAGATGAAAAATCCGAAAAGTATAATCGCGTTTTGCTTTCAGTCTGTGGATTTCCGAATATCCAAAGCCAAAATAGCAGCTCTTCTTGTTGGGATGTTATATGGCTGGAGTATTCCATTATCCATCAAGTGAACTCCAAACGATAACAGACATGCATACCCTCATTATAAGAAAATACCCTGTTATTCCGAACCTCTGATGCAGACGGGTCTCGAAGCCACGACCGACGAAACAACGTACTATTATTGTGATTATCTGGTCCACAATACTAATCTTGGTAAAAAATATTTTGGAAAAGATATCTAACTAATTGAGCTTAGTGATTAGAAGTTTAAATAAAAGAAACGAATAATGAAAGAGTCAAAAATTAAAAACATAAAAATCAAACGAATTAGAGAATGCGGATAGCGGACTTTGCAGACTAAGTCCCGAATAGTGTAAACGGGAACTTAAAATTGTTTTAAAAAAATTTTTGGGGTTATTAAAAACCAATGCCGCTACTGCGAAATGATAGTTTACACATGGCCAGATATAAATGTATTTGAACTCATTCAAGCTCTCTCGTGAATCGGGTTTTAATGAATTACAAAGTAAACATTGATTGAAAACTACTACGTGGGGGTCTTGGGTGCAATGGCAGTAACGTTCCTGCAACCGACGGGTCTTGAGTTCAATCCCCACCAGGTCCATTTTTAATATTAAATAAAACACTTTAACGGTTTAAAACGCGAAATATTAGTTAAACTTATTTGAAAATGATTTTTAACTTCGGCCCGACATTACGGATGCCTTGCAGCAGCCATGGTCACGGGGAGACTCCGGGCCGAAGTTAAAATTTTATCATTTTCAAATAAGTTTAACTAATATATCGCGTTTTAAACCGTTAAAGTGTTTTATTTAAATGTGTACTACTCGCGAAAACTATAGACAGTGTGTTTTTAATCAATTTATAATTCTGAAACATGTAGCACTTCGTCTGGAAATCTGAATTTTAAATGGGTGGTATCAATGTCGATATTCATGAAACACCGACCACACATGATTATTCCTTCCGGTTTCAGTCTTGATTGCCGAATATCCAAAGCCAAAATGGGTTGTCAACGTATCTCATGTAGATGTTAAATATAGAACAATTTAGTAGGATTAGTAAATAGCTCGAATTATTAACAACATTATTGTTTCAAAACATAATCGCGCAAACCGTCAAATGGCAACTGGAATAGTTTACAAATAAAATCCGGACGATAAATTTTCCGCTTTGATCGTTCAAACTCATTTATCTTACTGTTCCTTCGAATTTTACGTGATTGATACGGTGAGTTTTACGTTTGATTACGACAAACGAGTTTATCGCCTCCGTGGTTCAGTGAGGTTTCAGGTTCAATCACAGCGAAGAATAAATTGTTTTATTCAAAGTTATCATAGAAATCTCATTACATAACAGTGTCAGAAACAGACACAGAAATAAGCCTGACATTTATCACGTATAGAGTACAGCTATATTAATAAATTGTAAATCGTTCGTGAAACAGTTCAAGATCATGCTTTAGTTCACGGCTTGCATTTTTAAAAGCTCAGTTTTAGAAGCTATTTTTAGCTGCCACCGTCAGATCTTTCTCATCTGGCAACAAAATTATTATACCACACTTATTATCCACAATATTTATAATTAAAATGCATTTATATGCGAAAACTCTTAAACTTTTAAACCTCCTCTCTTCAGCCCACTCAGTTTAATTTATGCGCTGTATTTTAACCTTAAATGCTTATATTTTGTAATATAAATGTGTATCTAACTTACGGTCTAAACGTCTGTCTGTCTTTCTTTTTTATATAGTTTAGTCTTTACTCTGTATTTGTACAACTTTACATTTTGTGTCTGTCTATAACTGTTTTAAACAGTTGTGTTTTTTTTACCTATTTATTGTTATATCGTGTGAGTAATTGTGACAAAACGACAGTCCTCAAATAAACATGCATACAATATTGTATAATCGCGTAATTATAAAAATCGATCGTGCAAAAACTGTCTTCTCTAATTCATATTTTTTATATATATCGCAGGCCTTATATAGGCGCAATGACCACCGAACAGTTGTCAACTTGATTGCACTTGACAAGCAGATCATTTCCTCATAAGACTAGATTTGATTGACCTCTTCAGTCGTCAATAATCAGTAACAGCCTTTTAATTCAACACATACGAGGGTGAAATTCACTTCTGGATGCCACTAAATCATTGAATAACCAATTACCGATTGGCATTAGTTGAACTTCAGCCAAGCGATAAGCCGACTCGATCTTCAGTTGGGGAAACTGAATCGCTCGTGCCCTCTCCGTCACTCGGCCAAATTTAAATCCCAAACTCCCCACCGTCGGGCGTTAAACATTCTGGAATAATTCCATTCAGCCAGCCGGTGCTTGCCACTCGAATTCAGGTCGCGACCGCGCGAGGAACCGACTAATCATGGCAGACGTAGACGTGCAAGTCCAGTATACCACCACCGAGAGGAAGACCAGAAAGGTTAAGAAGACCTCGAAGCGCAGGGAGTCTAAGGATGGCGAAGTCACGGTCACCGAGCTGGACCAGAACACTACTAATACCAACGACGATGGGTATGTGATGCGGTGGCCAGGCCCTGACCCTGTGTAGTGTGTGACAGTGCCATAGTGTCTCCTTAGTGATTTATGCACACGGACTCCGTAGTCCACTGGCCACCCTTACATACCCTTACTAATTTAAGGTATATACCTTCTACGTCTTGTTTAAACTCTGCCAGCGATTTGAAAGTTTCTGATCCTCTTTATCAGAGAATTCTCTTATGTATGCTTGAAGGGGCTTCGAGAGATTAGTCAAATGCTTAAGCGTCTTGTGGACTGCGTTCCTCAAAATATTCTGTTATTGCCACAAACATTCTAGGATACATACCTTCATAGGTCTTCTTTGATTGCTTTACAGTTATGGACATAATAAAAACTTCTAGTGAGCCATTTATACCTAACCAAAATAACGTTGCCACTAATCTTTGTTCATTTGATATCTATAATATTGTATAAAACCTCCAGAACAATGCAAAACTGTTGTTCTGGAGTAAGCAAGGGGTCTACCCTGACTGGTTATAAGTTTAATCATATACTCATCAAGTATTTCTCTTGCAGCTTATTTTCAGTAGCGAATACACCAAGGCGATGAGCAAGGACTGGCACAGCGGGCACTTCTGCTGCTGGCAGTGCGATGAGTCCCTCACGGGGCAGCGCTACGTGCTCCGAGACGAACACCCCTACTGCATTAAGTGCTACGAGAGTGTCTTCGCCAACGGCTGCGAGGAATGCAACAAGACCATCGGTATCGACTCCAAGGTGAGGCAACAATTCTACCGGATTGAAACGCGATACATTTCATAGTTTAAAAAATCAGCATCAGATTCGACCATTATTATTCACATAATTTAATGAACTTTTAATACGAGGACGAAGAGGACATAAAGTAATTGACACAGGCGGTACACGAACCCGCACCGCTGTTTTTGCCACTGTCTGTTTACCACAAGGATTGTCTCTTTTTTTAGTATTTGATTTATACACGATAGAGTAGGTAAATTAGTTTAAAAGTTGTAAGTTTCAAAGTCTTCATTTTTCACGACTCTAAAATAGATTTCAAATCCATTGACTTCAATCTTGTGTGTTATATCGTTCTATATTAATTTCTCAAATATCAAATTATTAACAAACACTAATCATTCTGGTATTTCTACTGAATTGTAATAATTTCAAGAAATATATAATTTCATCATTAACATATTTAGACCAAATCCAATAGGCAGTATGCATTTTAAAGTCTAAAAATATAACTGATAAACAGCGAATGATTTAAAATTCACATTACGCCATTCAATGTTATGCATGCTACACCCTCACTTACGATCCTACATACATTAATCCGATAACTGATCAGCTCTATCAGGTAAAACAAGCCCTGAATGACGAAATAAACTGAATCCTTTGCTCTCGGTATTCAAACCCAAGAACGAGTGCAAACATAAGCTTTTACCATTAGTGCAAGTGTTCTATTATTGTCAAGTGGTTCGTTTGTGGATGTTTAAGAATAGTATCGATGGCATGTTTGAGCTTTGTTGCGATCAAATTTAGTTTTGTCACTCCAGCCGGCCCAGATTCAGACGTACCTCTGCGCACGGCCCCAAGCCGACGGCTGCCAAGACAACATAAAGAATATGCCACGCCAAACACTACATTCATCTAAAACGCTAGACGAATGACTCTTCCTGTCATACTGCACGAACGGACTCTTTGAAGGCAGTTCTCATCAGAATGTAACACGTCTATTGATCAAACAGTGGTTGCGTACGCTAATTTATTCATTAGGTTAAAGATGAATTTTTTTTCGTATAATTACATATACTCGAAACATATAGCTTTAACAATAAGCAGAAAGGCCCTAGCCGAGCCTATCAGGCCGAGCACAGACCTGAAGCCCGTAAATATAATCGATTAATCAAACTGATACATAAATGTATTATTCTATGGCCCATAGGGAAAAAGGGGGTTTCACTTTTTCATAAAACATTTATTCAATGAGTGATAACTAATTACTTATAATATAGTGCACCTTTCATACATTAAAATATAACGGACAACGATAATTTTTGAATATTTGTTGACATTTGGCCATTTTCTTTAATCACATTTAAATGTGCAACTTTGTCTATTTTGGCATCAGTACCTGGTTACTAGCAGATTTTTGAAGCAATATTAATTGTAAAAGATAAAATAATATCCCTATTCATTCAAATCGGAGCCGAGATAATCTTAGAACTCAGTGCTAAAATACGAGCACAGCTACAATCGCAGGAAACACAGAATTTACATAAACATTGGCAACGATATTAGATATTACGAAATCCCAAAACAAGCTTTACTGGCAGTTTCGTTTGGATTACTGTAAACATTTTCGTAAGAAAAAGATATTACAAGTCTAAAACATGTTAATTGAAAACCTAACAGTTGAATACTGTCTGGACATATATTAGTTAAACTTATTTGTAACTAAGTTCTCGTGTATATTCCAAATATTTGTAATGTACAGACAATAGACAATATTTACAGTATCGAAATTCTATTCGAGGGACAGAATCGCAGCTAGTGTTTTCGTTACGCCGACCTTGAGATAACAGTAGATCCATCAGATTCTTTAAGATCCATTTCGTAATCGTCGAAAATAAACCATATTTTATTATTACGACATTTAGTTTACGCGAGTAGCTCTTGAACACTAATAATAGAAATGAAAATGAGGGGAGTTAATTCTGCATTCGTTCGTCAACTGTTTGTTTCTGTCTTGACGCCGTACTACTGTAATATGTACTCCCGTTTAGGTGTAATTATTATTAAATATTAAGGAAATAACTATTTATTTCTTATTTTATCATGTTAAAAACAATCATCTAATACATTTTACTTATTATAAACGCAACTATATACATCTACAAACATTTAGTAATGATAGATTTATTTTGTTTTTATCCTCGATATATTTTTATAGGGCGTATAAAACTTACAATGTTAGACGACTCTGATCACTGACCAGAGAATAAGAGAGTGAAGATTATATATTTTAAAGGCTTGTAAGCCGTTGTAAGGTTAAATATTATAATGTTTCAATATAATAATCAGTAAATATCTATTTGGATTTAAAAAAAAAAACGACACGGGCAGGACTTGACGTTTCGTGCTGTTGCCTAACTAATTCGGTTGATTAGAGAACAACGCGCAACGCTGTGAATGCCGGTTCGAATCCTGCCCGTATCGTTTTTTTTATCCAAATACCTTTTTATTCTATGCAATACCACAATGAGCAATAAATGTTATACGTACATGTAAAAAAGATTAAAGTTATAATATGTCGTAAACCACCGATACAAATACAATTTCATCTCATTCACTCGAAATTTTCTCGTTGTCTCCAGGATCTGTCATACAAAGACAAGCACTGGCACGAGGCGTGTTTCCTCTGCGCGAAGTGTCGCGTGTCTCTGGTGGACAAGCAGTTCGGCTCCAAGCACGACAAGATCTACTGCGGAAACTGCTACGACGCGCAGTTCGCCAGCCGTTGCGATGGATGCGGTGAAGTCTTCCGTGCTGGTGAGTCAAAAATTTATTGTAAGGTAATACACATACGATAGAACCAAGGGCATTTGATTCCTACCGGCTCCAGTTTGTAGAGAGTTAGTAGTTGGGAATTTGTTGAGTGGAATGATGGAATTTACCATAAATCTTAGTCTCTTAATTTTTGGCAATGTTTTGATAATTATTATCGTGTTTTGATTTTGATATGTAAAAGTACTATTGAAGTAATTAGGTTACTATAACATTCGGTAAAAATAGATAAAAATAATTATATCAGAAAAAATAGCTACCGTCTTAATATAAAGATTAGTTAAGTGCATCTTAATTTATAATTACTAGATATAAAATCTTTTTTATCCCAAATTAAATAAGTATATCTGTCTGATACTTACGAATATATATGAAACGTATAACGTAACCTCTTTTTTGCAAAAGCTACACTATAAAGTTGTCAAGAGCGTAATGCTTTCGAACTTGCCGAGGCCCTTACTCCAAGCGTAATTGTGGAAATAATTACTCCGTACTGTAAACATGATCTAGCGAATCCTAAAAAGGCGAAAAAATATGTCTTAAGATGTCGCTAATATAAGTATATAAAGTATGCGAGAATTGTAAAGTGTATATCATATTAGATTTATTTACGTATAGGTAACAATATAACTGTCATGTTACTAATGGCGCAATTAAAAGAAAATCTACTAATTAAAAACGCATTTTAATTTTCATATTAAACGTCGAATATAAAAGTTAAAAATTAATTTACCTTGACACCTGACTGAAACCTCCATTTAGCGCAAAAAATTGGTAACAGCGCCATCTGTCGCTTAATATATGTATCAGCTCATTTATATACATATTTATTTTTAAATTACCGACACCTTAAAATGGCATGTAGCACATGTAGCATTCGAGTGCACTTGACTTGTTACAATCTTAAACGATTACGGCTTTGTAACATATCCCATATGCCGATAATCTTTGAATCATTCCCGAGACACACAGATTAATAGAATGTCGAACAAAAAGTTTTTGTCTTTTCGCTATAAATGCATGTTCTTTTGTATGGCATACATATAAACGTATTTTACCTGATTATTAAAATTATAACCTTATCTGTTACTTACGTGAGTAGTACACATTTGTAAGACCCATGACCGCGGCTGCTGCAAAGCATCTGGAGCTTCAGGCCGTAGTTATAATAATTAAAAATAATAATAATAATTTTCGCTTTTAAACCGTTAAAGTGTTATATTTAAATTATGACCTATGTAAGATAATTATACCAAATTAAATATTCATTGCTATAATGAGATTAACGACAAAAAGGGTCAACAAAAGACAGTTTCCCAATTAAGTTCGTAAGCGCATAAAACATGTCCCAGTGCATTTCAAGCATTAAAATCATTTTTGGTATTGCCCCATGTTCGTTGCGCTGCGCGTCAATAAATCTTTGTAGTTGACTGGTGACCATATAAGGACACTCAGTTGCCCTGGCTAGACTAGATAAGGAGTTCTTAAGGTAATTTCATAAAAACGCGATGCCATTGTCATAACCTCGGCGCATGCGTGATGCAATCTCGATTTTAAATCGCGGTATTATAATTATTGTCGGGTCAAGAAATGGTCGATTCGGAAGAAAAATAGGAAATTGTCTCGAAACAACCATATTTAGCAAATTTATGAAGTTCAAATATGAGTCAACATTCATTCGAAAAGGAAACACCACGTCTGTTCAAAGGTTAGACGTCTTGCTGAGCATTGTGTTACGCGCGAAAGACCCTCAGTTAGAATATTGAAACAGGAGAAGATTCGGTCGGGTAGGGCACAGACGGGCAGAGTGACGCAGACAGAATGATCTGGCTGCGTGCTCTAGATAGACAAAACGTATATAGGCTTATTTAATGCAAAAACCATTTAAAAATAAAATATAATATACTTTATTCTCTTTAAAATTTTTGAAAATGTTTTTCTTTCTGTCTATCGTGATTCTTCACAGTGTCCCAAAGAGCAAAATGACCGAGATGAATACCCAAGAAACTCAGGCCGGCTTTTTTAAACGAAAGGTTTGAAATTTCATTAAAACTGGTCGAGCAGTTTATGGAAAATAACAAATCTCATCAAACAATGACAAAGAGTGCAAAACGAGGATTAAAAATTTGTCTTTTCTCTTGCTATATGTACCCTTCAGTTGTAGAATATTCAATAAAATGGCATTCTCTTTATGTATACAGAAAACAATTTCCTCTAAATTGTAAAGCCAAAGCAGTGCTCGCGATTGAATACAAATTAGACTCGTAACTAATTGGTTAGTTTTGGGGCCTCCCTAATATGATGTCATGACAACCATAAATGTTATGTAATTTAACACGAAACGAATCTGTATTCAAAGAGTACCTTTATTCTATTTGTTTTTTTCTTTTTCTATATAGTATTGAAGTCGAAAGATCTAGATTAAAAGACAAGCTACTGTAGTTTACGTCAGTAGTATAACTTCAAATTAGTTAACTTATGTATTTCGCGTTTAAAACCGGTAAAAGTTTTTTATTCAAAAGCTATATACTCAATAATGTTTCACTTTATGTACCTACTAATTATAATTCCAGGTCAACTTCAAAAAATCGTTAATATTTTACCGAACACACTCAACGAGTAATTAATTTAGTAATAAATAATAATAATAATTTATTAATATCAATTTAAACAAAACATAAATGTTTTGATGGAACACAATACAATTTACTTCTCATAGTCTAGTTAATATTTATAAAGCACTTATCGTTAGCCACCTAACATGTTTTTCCCTCGCATAATCTATGGCAATAAAGAATTAATAATTAAGATACAATCTGTCACAGTAAACGCGTAAATATAATCTGTGCCAGGATGCTATGCCGTTACAAATGTCGAAAAACCGTTAGATTCAACTGTTATTTCTCTATATCTCAATTATTTGGGTCTTGTCGCGAAAAGTAACGATGTTTGGTAATGACGATAAATGTATAATATGTAATGATATAAGGCTAAAAAAATATAGTATATAAAATGTACAATTCTAGGAAAGAGATGACTTATGTAGAGATGTTAGGAGTTAGAACAATGTTTGAACTGTCTGCATCGTTTGTTTTAGGAAGTTGAATTTTTCATAAAAGGCTTTGTTCATGGCATGAAAATTTAACATTGTTAATTAGGTCAACCGGTTGAAAAGGTTTTTCATGGCAAAATCGTTTCCCTGTTACGGCGAGTAGAGATTAAACAAAGAAGATTTATTTTAAAATAAAACACTTTAACGGCTTAAAACGCGTTATATATTAGTCAAATCCTTCCCATGACCCCTCGTGTCTTCCAGTGACCACGACTGCTGCACAGCCTCCGAAACGTATATAACTTTAAATCGCGTTTTGTAATTTTTTTTATTTAAATGCCCTAAACTACAGACAGTATTTAAGATTTATTTATAAATTAAATCGCACCAACTCAACCAATACGCACTGGGTAAGTTAAGTTAGTGGGTCAAAGGTATTAAAACCACTCAGCAGAAAGAGAACTTTGCCCAGCTGTGGGATATAAAAACGTATAAAACAAGGCATTGAAGCCTATAGTGGAATACGTTAAGTACAATACATAGAATAGGATAATTTTTATTACTAATAACTAGACCTTCAATAATATTGGCTGTAAAGATATTGCCGCGAGCAGAAATCAAACCGAATTAATTATTATACATGACATCACTCATTAAACCACTTATCGTAAAACAGGTGTTGTCTGTTCATGACGATAATTGCACGTAATTTTTTCAATTACAACTCGTAAGAATCACTTATTTATCATGAATTGCTGCTAATTATATATTTCGCCTTATATTTCATGTTGATAAGGCACATTTTAATGTAGTCATACTTGAAATTAATAAAGTTAAAACACGTTGCCTTTAAATATAAGTACTAGCTGTGTCAGCGACTTCGTCCGCGAGAATCGTCATTTTAGGCATCCAAATTTCTTCTTGCAAACCCCGTCATGTTTATAAACTCGGTCGCGTCCTTTCCCGTCGTTCTTGCGAGTTAAAAGATATACACACACACATATATATATAGATATATATATAGCGTCGCGGACTTCTTTTAGAACATTTAAAGAGCCATCATTCTTTCATACTTTTTTTTTGGGTATCTGGAACCGATTTTGCAGCGTACACGTCGAAAACCTATAATGACGAATAATTTTCCCCGTTTTTTTCCACATTACCCCCTGTTTCTTCGCTCCTATTATTACGACGTGATGTTTTGTAGCCTATTGCCTTCCTCGATAAAATGTTCTAACTAACACAAAAATAATTATTCAATTTGAACCAGTAGTTCCTGAGATTAGCGCGTTGAACAAAGCAAACAAACAAACTTTTCAGCTTTATATATTACTAATATAGATAAATTTTAAATCATACCTTTTACTCATTCACGTTTTAATAAAACATGTAACGGTTTGAAACGCCAATTATATTAGTTAACTTATTTACTATATATTTACTACCCTACTTGCCGCAAATCATCCGAAACATCGGCCGTATTTGAAACAGAGTAACTAAGTTAACTAAAACATTTCGCGTTTTTAAACGTTAAAAGTGTTTTATTTAAATGTGTACTTCTCGCCCAAACTACAAACATTACTTAAGTGTTTTACATTTGTAATGTTATTTTTATAATAAACATTATTAATTCGATAAAACTGTTACATTTTTTTACGACTCTGTAAAAAAAATGTTGCAAACTTAATGTAACCTATGTTCTTCTCTTTTTATCTTACTTTGATTAGTTGGGCCGTAGAAGATAATCAAAGCCGCTATATAAGGGTACCTATGTATTGTATGATTTTTCAGTATAGCATAGGCAAAAAGATAATAGGTAAATCTTGACCACGCCTAATTCAATGTAGCTCATCACTATTTAATGACACGATGGTTTGAGTGGTTGAGTCATCGCGTAGGTTGGTTATAAATAAATATTTATGTAACTAATGAC